CAAGGATAAACATGGAACGACGAGAAAGCAGAGGGTGCAAGACGCGGGCGGAAGAGGGAAGACCCAGACCTGAAAGGGGACAGGAAGACAACGAAGCAGGCACATCTGGAATAATCAAGATGGAAGCCCAGGACCTGGGGAGAGTACTGGGAGCCGGGTGGGCAGCGTGTGAACGATGAGTGAAGCACTCGGCGCGCGCGCACACACACGCGCGCGCGCACACACACACACACACGCGCACACACACACACACGCAGGAACAGCTGCTCCATGATGAGTGTTTTATGAAGACCCTGAAGCGCCAAGGGACTGAAAGGAAAAACCCACCCCACCCCCCAGCCCATGGCGAGGGGAGGGGGCTACAGGGAGCATAACCTACACTGGAAATTCAACAGGCCTGAGGATTTGGGAGCACAGAAGGCCTAGGAGACAGGTGGGAAGCCGGACCCCTGCTCCCTGCCAGACCAGACACCAGGGCTGCATGTGTTCGTTGGGGGAATGAATGAATGAATGAATGAATGAATGAATGAATGAACCGGGAACCCAGAGAAAGACACAAACCCGCTACGGTGAGAGAAGTGGACAGAGATGGTGGGAGAGGGGGTGGCATACCTATAGTCTGGCTTTAATGCACTCACACGGAAGTCAAGGACAAACCACAGGGGGCAGGATGGAGAAGAAAGATACAGAGAGGGTAGAGGTGCTTAGGATACAGCCTGCCAGGAACATCGTTTGCCCAACCCTGGCACGTAGGAGGTGTTCGGCCAATCTACAGCCCTCAGTAATTTTAGGGGCCCAAGAAAATGTTTCCATTTCTTTTTAAATCAGAAGAAAAATAAACTTTCAACTCAAAGAACATGTTTTAACATATAATATTAAAATATTCAACTTTATACCAATATTGTCATAAAATATAATTTTAATATTGTTGATGGAGGAAGGGGCGCACGAAGGCGAAGCTAAGTAGGGTCCACAAAAGTCATAACTGAGCCCTGGTTGGGACCCAGCCTGGGACTGGGTAGCTCAAGGCCAAGTGTAGGACAGACCCTAATGCAGGGAGTGCCAGAGCCAAGGGAACCCAGGGGAGGGGCAATCAGGAAGCCTTCTCAGAGGAGGTGGGATTTCCAGGTTGAAGGAAAGACACGTCAGGTGGAAGGAGAAAGTGTAGGCAAGGCTTGTGGTCACAGTGCTGTGGGCAGCTGGAGCCAACCTAGAAAGGCCTGGAATGGCAGGTGGGGCTTCCTCTATCAGAAACAAAGGAATGTGAGCAGGGCCAGAGGTGGGAGGAGGAAATAAAAGGCCATGGCAGAGTGTGGGAGAGCGATGGCCGAGCCTCCCAAGGCGTGTGGCCCTGTGCTGGCCACTGAATGGTGAGCGGGAGGGACGGGAGAGGAGTTGACTTTTAGGGGACTGAGGGTGAAGTGTCCAGGGGACGGTCACCAGGAAAACCATCCCGGAGGGAGGCCTTGAGGCTGAGGCTGGAGGGAGCATGGGAGCCAGGGTGGGGGCTGAGCAGAAAACCACCCCAGAGGTCAAGTTTCAGGAGAAGGGGAAAGGGGGTGGGCCAGGGGTTCATGTGCAGACACACACACGTACACAGATGCACACACACCAAGCAGGAGGCAAGAAAAGAAAGAAGGGAAAGAAGGAGGATATTTAATAAAGCTGCAGGGAGGTGGAGAGAGACAGACCCACTGGCACTGAGACATGTGGACACACACTCACACTCCACCCAAGGGGTGGGGCAGAGAAAGAGATGGGCATTTAATGAGATGGCAGCAAGAGGGAGGTGGGGGGATGGGCAGAGGCAGGCAGACAGACGGATGCACAGGCAGAGCTCAGCAGGGGACACAGGTCTGGGGTCCCATGGGTCACACTCTGAGGGAAGTACAGGTCTGGACACAGGGTGGGAAGGCCCCAGGGAGAGGAGGGCTGGGGAGGGATAGAGTGAGATGGACGACAGACAGATGCACAGAGCTCCATCTCCAGGTCCCTTCCCCACCCCATGCCAACCCCCATCTGTGCCTCTTTCCCTGGCTGTTCCGTCTCTGTGTTTCTGTCTGTTTTTCTCTCTGCAGACCACAGCTTTTTGGAGCCCCCCCATAGACAAATGGGAATAGAAGACAGAGATGAAAGAAAATGCAGACAACAGACCATGTGTGATACCTATGTGTGTGTGTATGTGTGTGAGACAGACCATGTGTGATACGTGTGTGTGTGTGTGTGTGTGTGTGTGTGTCTGGGGCAGAATTTTATGAGGGAGGGAGGAAGAGGGTGAAAGGAGCAGATGATGAAGGAAGAGACGACAGCGGGCAGCAGGGGCTGCAACCTGGAAGGTGGGGAGAGCAGGGACATGCACATTGCACACACCACACACCACACGCATACCATGCACACTGCACATAACATACAAGCACACTGCACACACTGCACATGCAGCACACTGCACACCACATACGTGACACACTGCACACAACACAGTGCACTGCACACCACGTAAGTGACACACTGCACACATAGCACACAGCACACTGCACACACTGCACATGTGGCACACTGCACACCACATACGTGACACACTGCACACATGGCACTGTACAATGCACATACAGCACACTGCACACACTGCACACCGCACACAACACACAGTGCACTGCACACAACACACACACTGCACACACCCACACTGCTCACACACATACATACAACATACACTGCCCACACTGTACACATTAGAAGTGCAACGGTAGAAGCAAGCTCAATGAAATTGTGGAGAAAGGGAGGCAGGAAGGGGGCTGAGGAAGACAGACAGACCGCACAGAGAGGGCTTGACACAGATACACAGGCAAGCGTGTGAACTCACACACCCACACAGGCCCACGGCAGGACTGGGCCCAGGGTAAATCCTCAATACGAGTTTTACATATGAATGATGAGAAGAATGAATAGGCCAGCAGCCCAGAGTGAGGGCCAATAAATGCGGGCCAGAGGATGGACAGACAGAGAGACAAGAGGACACCTAGGCTGACGGGCAGAGAACAGTTGACAAGCCCAGACTCACACACACCCAGAAACATGCCCATTCTCTCTAGCTGGCAGGGATGGGGTAGTGGGCACAAATTACGGTCTTTTTTGTGCTTTTCTGTATGTATGTATATGTATGTATTCCTTATAGCAGAATAGGAAAGATATAAACACACACACACACACAAACACACACACCGGGGGTGTCAAAAAAATGTATACACATGACTTGTATTCATCTTTTGTTATCAGTATATATTGAGTATTACAATTTTAATAGTTTTTTCCTTTCTTAAAATGTGTATTTTTTGGCACCGTGTGTGTGTGTGTGTGTGTGTGTGTGTGTGTGTGTGTAATTTTTTCATGGGGGAAACAGCTTATTTTTCTCAAAAAGAAAAAAATGCATGCAGAGTAAGAAAAAAAAAACACTGAAACCAGGAAGGGCAGGAAGAGGGGGACGCAGGGCTCCTAGGGGCTCCAATAACCTGAAGTGGGCTGGACACTGGACAGTCTGCAGGAGCGGGCAGAGGAGTTACGAGGTGGTCCCGGCAGAGTGATGTCTCTCGCCCCTCCACTCTCTCTCACAAAGAATCGAGCAAAAGCAAACTGAACAAAGGTCCAGAGTGAGAGAGTCAAAACCAAAGAAAGGGAGGCAAGAGGTGGGTGTTCCACCTTCCTTTCCTGACCACACCACCCATGTGACCAGACCTGGGTGCATCAGAGCGAATCTCCCCAATCCCTCAAGCTCTTGTTCTAAAGTGTGAGCCGCATGAACTGCCACGACAACCCCGCAAGTCCCAGGGGGTCAGGGAAAGCTCCCAGGGGCAGTCTGTGGCCTCTGAGATGGGTTCTGAAGGATAAATAGGAGTTTGCAGAGAAGAAAGGGCATTCCCAGTCATGGAAACAGTCGAGGCAAAGGCATGGAGGTGTGAGAGGGCTGGGGAAGAGTCAGAGGAATGGAGAGATTGATAAGGAAGAAAATCTGAGAGAGAGAGGGGAGAGGCAGAGAAAAAGAAACTAAGAAACAGAGACACATACAGAAACAGAGACAGAAAAGCGGAAGCGTACAGGGACAGAGAGAAAGATCAAGAATTGGGGGGAAGGAGGATTAAGGCAAGGAATAGAAACTCAAAAAAAATTGTCAAAGCAGAGAACCAGAGCCATACAGAGAGAGAGAGAGAGAGAGAGAGAGCGGCAGAGTTGGACAGGTACAGATAGACAAAGAGACAAGGACAGAGAGAGGCATGCAGAGAGACGGAGAGAGACACAGAAGACGACACCATGAGGCAGAGGAGAGGAAAGGGGGCGGGGCCTCTCCTGGGAGACCCTTGGGACTGCCAGCTGCAGGGATACTCAGGTCATGCAACCCAGCCGCGACAGAAAGGGCTTTGTCCCCCCTGGGTCTGGGGCATGTCCACGTCATGGTGGGCTTGGGACAGCTCGCTCCTGTTCGAGCCCCGGGAGCCATGTGTGTGCTGAACCTGGAGCCGCTGGTGCTCTCTGTGCTCTCCGAGCCCACACTGATCTGCATGGACACACACTGCCCACATTGGAACCCAGCTACACACATCGCTGCCCAGGGCCCAGGAGCCCCCCCAGCACCTCCCACAGGTTCAGGCTCCAACGACTAGGATTTGTGTCCACGCAATACACACAAATCCGTGCACACACAACAGTTAAAGACCCACGCACTTCATACCCCATTCATACCCAGGTACACACACAACGGAGGGCCCTGTAGGCTAGCACGCTACCTGGACACGTATGTATACAGACACACAGAGCCATGGGCAAACAGGCCCACATACACCCACATGAACACAAAAGCACACGCATTCCAGGCACACATGAGCCAATAGAAGACGATGCCACAATCTCAATCCATGTTCCTTGGGAGCTCCTATTCATGTTCCCACGGCAGGCACACACCCACGGGGCCTCACGTTTGTGAAAAGAATACTGAACAGAGTAATATACCGAGTTTGAAGTTTGTTTTTAATTAAAGTATGATGGCCAGAGGTGACTCACGGATCGGTGTGTCATCTGATGTAAAACAAATTTCTCCGCATAGGCTGTGACAACATGAACTAACTTCCCAGGTTGCATCCGTCCGTTGGTTGGTGGTTGGGGAGAAGGAAGGAGAGAAAGGGTCTTGGGGTTTTTCTCCAGAGTATCCAGGACTTCTGTTGATCCAGCCCCACCTCCCACCCAGCTCAGCACTCCTGGGAAACACACAGGTTGCACATACACGCAGCCACCTCACCCCGTGAACACACAACAACTCCACACAAGCCTGACAGCCCTACTCAGTACCCGGTGTCAACCGCCACCATCCACCCAGAGGTCTGAGTCCTGAACTGCTCACATTTTGGGGCGTCCTGGGCTTCATCTGGTGCGTCACAGTTGGAAGTGGCCATCTCCAGTCTGATCACACCACGCCCTGGCCTGGAGCCCTCCAGCCACCACTGTTGGCCACACAGAGGTTCCTCTGATCAGTCTGTCCTCACCACTGCCCCCCACCCCTTCACTCTCCGGCACACAGTAGATGCTCAATAAACCACTGGCCGAACTCTGAGGTCTGTTTGTGTTTAATCAGACAATATGCAAAGTATGTACAACCAGTTCTGGATACCCCCCTCCCCCCACCAAGCCTGGACTGTGAATGCAGGACCCCAGGCCCTGCCCAGAGCCAGGGGTCCCCTAGGCCTCTGCATAGTCATCTGAAATCTACAAAACACTGTTTTAAAAAAAAAAAATGACAGTATTAGGACACCTTATACAAAGGGCCTTGGGCAGTTGGAAGGGGATTTGAGAGCACGCTGTTTTGAGCGAGCCCCGATTTGACTGGGACGGATAGGAGAAGACTTGGGTAATAAACATGTATGAAAAGAAACGTTGAAATTTCATAGGCAGGCACCACTTGGCCTCCTTCCCCGCTGGCAGGGCCTGGCTGGCTCGAGAATCCCTGGCAGCAGGAATGTTATTGCTATGATGGGGGGCTGTGGGTGAAATGTACAATGTGTCTAGGGGACAGAGCAAAGGGCATTTTTACATGTTAAATATGGACACACATGGAGGAATTACACACGTGCACGTGCACACACACACACACACACACACACACACACACACACACACACACAGGGCCCTTGGCAAGACGCCCCAAACGGTCAGCCACCCCTTTTAAGAAGGGTATACTGAGGCCCAGGGAGAAACCACCACATACCCTAAGGCTGAACAGCAGAGCTAGGGCCAAAACAGTCCCCTGATGCCCCGGGCTGGGCTCACTATGTGATGCCAGGCCACAGGGTCTGGACAGGGGTGGGGTAATTACAGAGCCCATGGCCACAGACGGAGGCAGACGCTGCATCCCAGAGAGGGAGCCAGGGTCACCCAAGGTCACACAGCCAGTCCTTGTGCACGGTACTGGACACCCTCATCTCCCCCCACCACCCCAGCCTAGGCACTCCTTTCCCTGCTCATGAGCTAAGGGACGCCAACGTGGGGAGGAGAGCAGGGGCCAGGCATTGAAATGACACAGGACAAACTGGGCAAAGGAGGACCTAGGGTTCCCTCCTGAGGCCAGACTCAGAGCCTCCCAACCACTTGGATCTTCTATTTCTGCTTGATTACCTCCAGAGCTTGGGAGCTCACTCTCTTTCACAGTGGGCTAGCCCTGAACGTCAAAACCCACCTGCATTTTGACTGAAATCTGCCTCCCTATATCTGCACCTTCACCCCTCATTCCTAGCTCAGCCCCACATCCACCTCCACTCTCTCCCCCCACAACAGCCCCGCTGAGCAGGAACTAGCAGCAGGACTCTCTGCTCTCTCTAACCCATCCTCAGACCCCTTGTCCCCTGGGCTGCCGGTCTGTCCATGATGCCTCTGAGGACAATCTTGTTGGTTCCTGAGGAAAACAGAGGGAGCACCGGGTTCTGATCCCACCTCAACCCTGAACTACTCTGAACTACCCCTCCCCAGACTCAGCTACCCCATGGGTAATATGGGGACAAAAAAAAAACTGATGATCTCTAAGGGTCCCTCAGGTCTAAGAAGGGTAGGGTTTGAGGGAGGTGCCCGCCCCACCCACCATCATCGAGTCAATCTAGGCCTCAGGCTGCCAAGCCAGGGAGCCAAGTGGCCTCCACCAACAGGTGTTTCAGGAATGGACAGTAAGGGGCAGGGTGGCAGGCAGGCCACCGGCCAAGGGCCCATCACTCCTCTTTGGAAAGGCTCTTTGGCCAGCTCTGGAGACAGACCTGGGCGGCGTGGAAGTGGGAAGGAGGCCATGTGTGGGGTAGGCTGAGGCTGGGAAAAGAAAGGCCTCGGCCCCGGTCGTTCCCAGTCCCTCCTGTCAGTCACGCAGAGCTCCAGGACAGGGACAGGGAGGAGGCATGTGGCTGGATGGGGAGCCAGGACGCAGTCACTCTGCCAGCCTTGGACCCCGTCCTCAGGGCTGCCCGAGGGCCCAAGCCCTTCCACGCCACTAAAGAAGGAGGGGCCTCGTCACTGGCAATTCAGCCCCACAGAGAGGATCAGCAGTGGGCAGGCAGAGGCAGGCAGGACCCCGCATCGGGGGCCACCTCGCCCCAGATCCAAGCCAAGAAGCCAGTCTGGCCCTGTAGCCTGCTCCCTATAGGTTCTCTCCAGGCTGGTACTGGGGCTCGGTGGATGTGAAATAGTCCTCCAGGAAGGCCTGTAGGTACTCAAAGGTGGGCCGTTCCTCTGGCTCCTTCCGCCAGCACTGGCACATGAGGTCGTGCAGGGACTCGGGACACTCAGGCGGGCAGGGCATCCGGTAGCCCCGCTCCACCTGATCCAGCACCTCTCGGTTTACCATCCCTGTGGACAGAGGGAGGAGTGAGGCTGGCTCTGGGGAGGAAAGTGTGTGGGGTGGAGGGGAAGGGGATGGGGATAACAAAGAGAGCTTCCCACCTAGGACAGGGTAGGTGTGACCATGAATAAGCCCCTCCCCAAGGCTGGAAGCCCTGACCAGAGAGAGAGCCTAAGATCAGGTGTTCAACCTCTTTTTTATACAGATGGGGAAACTGAGGCCTGGGAGGGGGTGTGGCTTGTCCAAGGTCACCCAGGGCAGAGTGGTTCAGAGACCAAAGGTGGGCTGTGGGGTGCCCTCTTACCAGGGTAGGGCACCCGTCCCTTTGTTGTGAGCTCTGTCAGCAGGATCCCAAAGGACCACACGTCCGACTTAATGGTGAAGCGGCCATAGAGGGCGGCTTCTGGAGCCGTCCATTTGATGGGAAATTTGGCACCTGCAGAAGCAAGAAAGGTCAGGGTACACTCAGCAGAATGTCATGACCACTCTGCCAGATAGGCACCCTTCTCATCCCCACTTGACAGATGAGGAAACCAATGCTCAGGGAAGGGGCATGACTTCCCAAGGTCATACGGCCCCTGACTAGACCCTGCCCACCTTGCCGGGCTGTGTACTCGTTGTCTTCGATGAGCCGAGCCAGCCCGAAGTCAGCTACTTTGCACACGAGGTTCTCTCCAACCAGGATGTTGGCAGCACGGAGGTCCCGATGGACGTAATTCATCCGCTCCACGTAGGCCATGCCTGAGGCGATCTGTAGGCCAAACAGAAGGGAATAACAGCTCAGAGGCCAGCTCATGCCCTTTCCAGGTCACAGGGCACATGTCCAGGGGTGGGGTGATCCCAGGAAGGAGAGCCAACCAAACACCCTGTCCTTCCCAGTTCTTCCAGCAAGTGAAGTCAGTTTACAATAAATGCTATTGGCACAAAAAGCAGGACCTGCACTCAGCAGGAGGGGACACAGGACAAAGGGGAAATGGCAACGGGGAAGCATAAGACAAGATGCAGTCAGGGAAGTGGGGTGACTACAAAAAAGAGGCCCAGATGCCCCAGGGACACAGTGCCAGGTCCTGCCTGCTGTCCTAAGTCCCCTCTCTGAGGCTCAGTTTTCTCATCCATTAAATGGAATAACAGCCATCCAACCTCCCCAGATTGTTATAGGGACCAAGTGAAAAAATGGTTTCTGAGTGCCATCTACAGCAAACTAGTGCTAATACATGTTTGTTGAGTGACTGAATGACCTTCACAAAGAAGAAAACTGGGGCCTGAGGTCCCACAGCAAGTCAGTGATTCCTGATGCCCAGGTAAGGGTTCTTTCTCTGCCCAGACCACCACTCACCACCACTTGGAGCACCTATCAGTGGTCCCAGTAATACATGTGGCGAGACCAGTGAGTGCAGGGGCAACCAAGGCAGGCTTCCTAGAGGGGGCATTCAAGAGGCCAGAGCTTGCTGAGACAGGTGGGTCAAGCCAAGGATGTAGGAGGGGCTGACTTACCTGAGCAGCCATGTCCACCAGCTGAGGCAGCCGCAGGTACTTGCCTGTCTCCCCCTTGAGAAAGTCCAGCAAACTTCCTGGGCAGAGAGAAAGCAACTCTAATTCCTAACCGGTCCTCCCTGAACCAAGAAGCAGTGATTCCCAGATCCTGTCCACCTGGCCGGGCTCACCTCCCTTTAACCGCTGCAGATTTTATGTAAACCCGTCTCTGAACAAAGTCTCACTCAGCATTTGTCACTCAAAAAGACAAACAGGATGGCAAATAACAGAATGCACACCCCTGGGTGAACAGAGTCTGGTCCATCCATACAACGGAATACTATCCAGCAAAGAAAAAAAAAAGGAACAAACTGCTGATACACACAACAAGGAAGAACCTTAGATGTAAAAGATTACATAAATGAAGTTCTAGAATAAACAAATCTAGGATGATAGAAAGCACGTCAGTGGTTGCCTGGGTTTGGGACTGGAGAATATTGTCATCAAAAGGGGACAAGGCAGGGACTGCCGGTTAGCTCACTTGGTTAGAGCGCAGTGCTCATAACACCAAGGTTGCCGGTTCGATTCCCACATGGGCCACTGCGGTGCGCCCTCCACAACTGGATTGAAACAACTACTTGACTTGGAGCTGATGGGTCCTGGAGGGACACACTGTTCCCCAATTAAATTTCTAAAAAAAAGAGGGAGGGAACAAGGCAGCTTTCTGGGGTGATGAAGATCTTCTATACCTTGATCATGGTAAGGGATCCACAGAGTATCCATTTGTTAAAACTCATGGAACTGGATGCTTAAAATGGGTGTATTTTATCATATATAAATTGTGCCTCCAAAAAATAGAATTTTAAAAAATAATTGATTTTAAAATTAAGTAAATGTCAAGCCAGGGACTTGCTGTTGCTCAACTTGGAGGGTTGGGAGAGTTCTCTTTGGGCCCTAAAAAGTGACAAACGGCTTTAGAAAACCAGCAAACTGAGGGAGACAAGATGCACTGTGGGAAATTGCTTAAAAACAAAATGAAACGAGAAAGGCAACCTTTGCCTTAACTTGCCATCAACACGAGAAGCTGGCTCTATTCCATTCCACCTTTAAAGAGGTATATTCTGCTTTGTGAGGGGTGTAAATGTCTAACTATTATGTTGCTTTGTACACCGACACTAATAAAAAAAAAAAAGTTAAAAAGAAAAAAAGAGGTATAATGCAGCCTGGGGGGCAGTGAAGCCTGTCCCTGTCTGCCCTGTGGTGAACACCCTGACTCAGAGGCGGTCCAGCAAGGGGCTGCCCGCATCTCGGTGCTGGTCGCCAGGCCTTACCTTTGCTCATGTACTCTGTGACGATGTAGATGGGCTCCTCAGACACCACGGCGTACAGCTGCACCAGCTTCTCATGCCTCAGCTTTTTCATGACCTGGGCCTCCTGCAGAAAGGCCTCTGGAGACATCGTGCCCGGCTTCAGAGTTTTGATGGCTACCCTGGTGGTGCCGTTCCAGGTCCCTGTATAGGGAGAGACACAGGCTGCCTCAGTGGAGGCTGGCCCCTATACCCATTCCCATCCCAAAGGGACTCAGGATCTGCCTGGGTACCAATTGCAGCTCTGGCCTCCCTGGCCATGTGATAAGCCCAGCCAAGGCCCAGGCCCTTTCTGAGCCTCAGAGTTCCCACCTGTAAAATGGACACAATGACAGGATGTTCCTCACAGGGCTGTTTGCTACAAGGCTGAGTCTCTGATACATGCTCAAGAAATAGTAGCTGTTGTCAGGACTACGATTATTAGGAATGTCCCATAAAGCAGCACGTTTGCCTGGGATGGGAGGCTGTGGTTCCAACTCAACTGCTCTCTCCTGGGTAACTATGTTCCTTCTGGGAAGGTGCCTTACGCACTAGCAAATGAACAGGGCTGGGGGTGAGGTGGAGCTAATCTCAGGACAAGGCCACCCAAACAAGAGCCATGCTCCCCCAAAAATAAGGCATCACACTAAGTACAAGGGCTTGAGGGTCAGACTGGCCAGAGTTTGACTCCCACCTCTGCCTCCTGCCGGCAGTGCTCTGTGGATGGGTCAGTTCCCTTCTCTGAGCCTCAGTCCTCTCATCTGGAAAA